CCTGGGAAAACATGGAGATTTTTGAATAAGATTAAGAGTTTGTAACATAGCACTATCTAAAATAATTTTTAGTCTACTCCATATGATGATTTCCTTTTATTTATTTAGGTTGACTGACTGAATTTAATTAGCTTGAGATCAACCAGTGAAGGTCAAAATCTTCACTGATGTTTTGCTTCCAAAATTCAATTCTCACATGACTGCGTCTGGCCCCTCAGTTCTTAATACATACTTATTAAATATATTCTTAATATCTATTGAATTTATTCTAGTTTTTATCAGTTATGTATGGTATTGTGTCCTATGCCTGACTCTGATTCAACTAATACAGTTAATTACATTTTTAGTGAATTGTTTCATACTAAGACAACTTGGTAGGACAACAAGTAGGACAGGAAAGGTAATTCAGCAAGTGTTCTGATTTAAAGTGAGTTTTATTAGAGAGGAGAGGAAAAAAAAAGAGAGGGAGAGGAAAAAGGTAAGAATATCTTTCAACATGCCCTGTTCTCTACCCACTTTTATAAAGTGAAGAGGTATCTTATGGAATCCTATTCTAATGCAAAGTGTTTTATTACTTGGACCATCCTATAATATATATTTTACCTTGACATTGAGTTAATTTTTATTCCAAAGTCATAGCACAGGGCAGAAATAAAGTTAATGGGACTTGGAAACTAAATAAACATGGATTTTATACCGGAAGCACGTTCTTCCTTTGGCTTACTCAATAACTTAGGCATGCTGAATAACTTGGGTGCTAGAGCTAGATACTTTGTCTCACAGTGTTTGTGCAGCTCCTTGTTCCCAGCCTTATGCATAGTGTATGGGTTAGCAGTGATCATCCTTGTTGCTCAGGGTTTGCTTTTATTTGCTTAGCTAATTTTGCTCTATAGTTACCAGATAATAATAATAATAAAAAAAACCTATGGCCTGAAGCCCTACCAGATTTCCTGGAAACCAACTTCACCACCTTCATCTTTGGGATAAATCTGGAGAGCCAGTGTTTTGCAGGCTCCTGACAACAGTTTTCACTTTTGCCCAGGGAGACCTTTCTAGCATATGTCTAATTTTCTTTTTAGAAGAGGGTGAACTAAAACCCTCACTAGAACTGTCTCAGATGGTTAGTGAATTTTATTTTCATTTAGTGTCAAAAAAATTAATCTGAGCATTTTTTCTGCTTTTTCTCTGCTGTCATGTTATTCAAGTCATTGTCAGATGAAGGGCTACTGGCTTCATTAAGGGGATGAAAGCCAACAGTCTGACACTGAACTCCTAGGGCATTTATCAGACTATGTGTCCCTCATATACAAAAAGAGGCTAAAATTTGCATGACTCGCAGGACATTATGAAAATCAACAATAAAAGTTTAAGCAGTGGGCAGTAATGTGTGAGAATGTTAAGTATTTTTACTGTAAAGTATTGTAGCAAAGATTTGGGCACTAGATACATTTCTCAAAGAGGTTGCAAAAGAACTTTTGAGAGTTTGGAATGGTGTAGGATAGAAAAAAATCTGTAGGGCACATATAACAAATTGCCTTCCATGTAATACCAGAAAAAGGAACTCAAATGCATGAAAAATCTGTACTTAAAATTATTTTTCAGGGAGGAAAACCTGCAATGAAAAATGATTTTTTCCTCTTAAATTATTGATAGTTGCCTAAATATCCTTGCACAGTTTTCTTAAGTACTCCATGATGAGAGTGTTCTTTTTGTTCAGGACTTGGAGGTTTGTGGTTTGCTTGGTGTTTAATTTTGCCTTAACTCGGCTGCCACTTGCACTCATTTGGCAGTATTTCTAACCCTGTTTGTTTCCTAGTGTTGAGAATAACCGTAACAATGTTAACTAGCATAAAAGAAGAAATAGTTAAAATGATTGTTTTATTTCCAACTCTGTAGGTAAGAGTTAATGGATTGTATGCCTGGTACTAAGCAAGTGAAGACCTGGAACAACTGACTGCAATGGCAGAACTTCCTTTCAAGTAGTGAATGTCACTGCATTCCTTCTGATATACCAAGTGCTACTAGATACAGAGTATTTAATTCCACTTTTGCCATTTGAAGTCCAAAATTCTGTTTCATGCTTCTAAAAAACTCAGAGTCATGTTGATTAAGTCATTTAGGGCCATCGCTTTTCTCCTCTGTTAAAAAAACATTCAACACTTTAATATAATATTGCTGGTTAAGTTTTATGAGATACTCTTGTTTCTTCCAGGTTTACCATTCTGAGATGTATTATCTAAGCCTTTTCTTGAACCCTTGTAAATGTTGCAATATATCCTTCTTGGAAGGGGGAGTCCTAAATTTGAGTTGCCCACCCTGTTTCTGTTGCTTTTGGTACCATTTAAGGGAAACACCAAATTAAACATAATTAGGCAATTCAGTGAGTTGCCACAGTGCACTTCTGGCACTTTTATTTTAAAATTAGGTGGTGTTCCTCTGAATTCTAAAGACGATTTCTGTGGAACTAGCCATGCAACATCCACCCATCCGTCCATGCAATGAGTCATTCCTACACCCCTTTGCAACTTACAGTAGACTAATTCTCCAGTGTAGCAGTATTATTCATACTGCTGTATTCCAACATTGAAAGTGATATCGAGTCTGTCGTTATTAGCATACAGTTCTGAGCTTTAAAACAAAGTACATTCTTTATATAAAAAAGAAAGTAACACTAAGTATGACACTGACATTTTAAAAATTGGAGTAATATTTACTTTTTTTTACCAAAAATGTTTTTGAAGCCTATTATTCTATTAGACAAACGTTTGATATGCTGATTGATTCTAGTAATGAATCTCAAATGGAACTTTAGTTAAAATTACAGTTGAACTGAAGATGTTTTATCTTGCTCCCTTCTGAAGCCAATGCTTTAAATTCCTTGAATTGGGTCCCTTTCATCTGAATTTAGAAAGAGAACAGATTTACATGACACCAACGATTCTGGCAATTTTATAGTTTCCATTTATATAAAACCAATTTCCTACCAGACAGGCAAAAGCTTATTCACTGGAAAGTCTTTCTGGAAGAAGTCCTGCAAAATATGGAATCATATCACTGTGGACTCTAATGCTAGTAGTTCCGTTGATATAATTTGTTTCTAGGTTACTCTGAGTAATAGAGGACATGCCATATACCCATTTGAAGAACAGCAGCTGGAGTTACTAGGTAATTCATTTCCACAGTTTATGTTAAATTTGGGCAGAAAACTAGCTGGACAGTTTCTCTTATGTGCTCAATAATACATGATCGAATACTGAAAAATCACAAGATTTTGATAAATTTCTGAAGTGTAGGGGGACAGTTCTAAAGTTGTTAGGTTGTGTCAGGGGGAAAATGTACTTCAGCTTTCCAGAAAAAGAGGAGTAGTTGGGATTGTATTTTCAACTTTCTCTCCCACCACTATACCTATCCCACCCTGTTCAGGCTCCTCTGGAGACTTGGAAGTGTTAGGACATAGTTTTGTGGATATGTGGTCCAGTGTAGGAGTTGGTGTAAGATCTTCTTTCTTCCCTCAACTTTTTGCTTTCATCTCTGTTCTTGTCACTTTGCTTGTTCCATATAAAAATTAGCTACTCTTCATACTAAACCAGATCAGAAAACTAGTCTAGGTTGCAAATACTCTGCACTTGAAACTTTTGTCTTTTCCCCCTGGATTATTTCTTGCACCTTGCTGATTTTGGCCCAGGGTTGAGCCATCTGGACTGCTGCATGTGTTTGGAAGATGTGGGATGCACAGGAGGAGATGGACTGACGTGGCAGATCCAAAACCTGCATAATTAAATGCTGCTCTGAAGGCAGCCAGGACCAAAACGCAAGAATCCAAATAACCAGGGGAAGAGAGATGAAGGAAAAGGTCAAATAAAATGGAGAGAGGGAAGACGAATAACAGTGAAGCAGGCTATTGAGTATGTATTACATACATATGCCAGCCCAGGTAAATTATTGCCTCCTTTTCTTCTGAATTATCAGGAATTTTGGGGCCTGCCTCAATGGAAAAGGCCATAATCTCAAGTTCCTGCTCCTATTATTCCCTTTTTAGCTTCTGCTCCAACAAGCGGATTTCCTGATCTTGCAAATCACTCATCCCTGAGCCTGCTGCGTTTTGCAGGCTCCTGCCACGCGCTTAATCCCACAGTTTTCCCCTGGGTTGGGGAGACCCTCCTCGTGCCACCTCCTCCTCCCTGCACTCTGCTGGACTTGTCCCTGCTCCTAGCCTTGAGGCAGGGCCAGCTCCGGCGGGATAAAAACCTTCCTTCCTCGTAAAACCTGAGGAGAAACCCTGTGGGAAACGAAACTCAAGCCACGACCCCCTGTGTTGGGAAGTGTGTGGCAAGCAGTTGGTTAGGGGCAAGTCCCTGTAGGGCAGCAATGTTCTTTTTTCTTCCCCTCTCCTTCTTTTCTAATTCCCTTTTTATTTCCCTTTTCCTCTTTGTTTCCCTTTTATTTCCATACCTCCCCGTGCCTTTTCCCCCTTTTCCCTTTCCTTTCCTGCTTTACTTTCCCTTCGCCCCAAGC